GTAATCTGTAACCTAGGTTTTTTTTACTCCTGTCACGTTTTTACTCACTGTGGGATCATTTTTAATTGCAATCTAAAGTCCTGCACCTCTATGGAAACAGCAAAGCCATGGCTAGAAGTTAAAATAACTTAACGTCTTCTGTGCAGTATGACATAGATACAGTGGTGTGAATCACACTACACGACAAACATGGAAGTGGAATTTATTTATTTATTTGACAAAAATTGAAACAAACGGGAATCGCAAGTGTGAAAAAAATGGCGGCTCTACATGCTGTAGGTAGTTAACCATTTACATTTTTACAGAAGGGAAATCAACAGTCCTAAAGTAACAACATTCAATATTATTAATAACAATTTGATTCTTTAACCAGTTTTGTTTATTTGGGTTTCATTTACACAAGCATCAAAGCTAGTTTTGTTCTTCAGATGGTTGTAATAACCAGGAAAACGTGATTTCTATCATACGAGGAGTGTCAGAAAAGTTTCAGGACTGGTGTCACAATAGATATGTTTCAAATCCAAACTACCAACTACAAGTTTTCCCCTTCCAAGTAATCCCCCTGGAGTCTAACACACTTCCCCAGCCTTCTCTGCCTTCACACCGCCATGCACTCCTGGAAGGATTCTTCCACGATCCTCTGCAGCTCCGTCGTCACAGCCATCTTGATGTCGTCCACGTCTTCAAAATGGTTCCCCTTGATGACCCCCTTGAGCTTGGGGAAGAGGAAACAATCCCACGGAGCCAGGTGGGGTGACTAGGGAGGATGTTCCAGCACGGAGATGTTCTTCTCAGCCAGGAGCTGTGGGATGCTCAGGGCGTTGTGAGCAGGCGTGTTGTCATGGTGAAGCAGCCACGACTTGTCCTGCCACAACTCTCGCCTCTTCTCTGAACAAAGCAAACGCCACAGGATCACTTTGTAGACGTGCTGGTTGATCGTCTGAAGAGGAAAACTTGCAGTTTGTAGTTTGGGTTTGAAATATATCTTTTGTGACACCAGTCCTGGAACTTTTCTGACACCTTGTATGTGGTCACGTAAACTGTACATGGACCAGTCATGGTTACGGTTGGGTTCTGATATTTCTGTATAATACCGATTTGTTTCCTTGAGAGATAGATGAGAAGGTTGTAG